TGTGTGTTCGCCAAGCAGGCGGCTATGAGCATGAAAAAAAAAAAAAAAAAAAAAAAAAACTATTTTGAGGCTTGAACGACAAGCGAATGCGCGTGAAATGCTTGAATGGGCTGTAATTCATAGTTTCATTCTTCGCCTATAAAGCTGGCAACCTTCCCAGTTGCCTTTGCCAATGCCGCATCATCTGATGGTCACCACACTGACGACAGTGATTTTCAAATGATAATAGCCGTTGGTGTGGGAAAAGAATATACGATGAGAAAACAATATATTTGCCGGTTGCTTCATTTTGTGTGCTTGAAAAAACGTTAGGAAATGTTCTTTAGGTACTGAGCAAACCAACAGGGCAAATTAAAGCTAACATTCCATTTCTGCTTTCAAGCTTCCTCAAACTAGTTGAAAGGTCTTCCCTCAATTCTACTTTGCAAAAAGATATTCTGCAAAGTTTCTGGAGCAAAAAGATATTCTGTAAAGTTTCTGGAACATATATCTTTAATAACGCCGGATGGGAACGGTGACATAATGAACTGTGAATCCATCTAACTTCTTTTAGTTTTACTAGTAAAAAATTGCGTACGCTTGAAATATTTGATTTTGCTTCTTCAACACTTCCTTTTCAGGCTGTAGAGACAAATATTCAGCGTGATTTTTTTGAATGTATCAGTCAACTTACCAACTAGCTACTCAGCAGAGGATCTCCAAACTCTATAAAGTTTATGGTAACCCAATCGTGCGGTTCATCGACTCAGTTGGATGGCAGTGCTGTTGGGCAAGGTCAAGAATGAGGCGTTTAGCCAAATAGCAGCTGAGGCGCATTCAGGTGAATTTTAAACAGATGGGTTTGAGGAGGGAATGTTATTTTAAACTAACTTGAAGTAGAATGAGCAGCAATTTTTCCTTAGCTTAGACGTAATCAACTGTTTTGAAATTTTCCTATGGGCTTAACAATTTTTGTAGTGGCTGGATGCAGTACTACAGATGAAAAATGACAGTACAGTGCTACAATGG